TCCACCAACTAGGAGAGCCGGAGGCCGTCCCGCCTTCAGAGGCTTATATGCATTGAACTCATAGAGAGTATCGTAGAGAGCCCTCAAATGGGGTGCTGAAGTCCCCACCGGTGAGCCAGCGAGATAGCTGACGGAATCGGCGCTTTGGTCATAGTAAACCACAAGGTCGTACTCGTTCCGTTTCTCAAATAATGCCTGTTCATGCTCCGGTGAAACAACGAGACGCTCCTCTAGTTCTTCCGCTGACACATTCTCCTTCAGAACCACAGGTTCTATGCAAATAATAGATTTTGCATATACATGACCATTATCGTACTGGTCTCGAGGCCGAACATCGATTAGCAGAACATTAAATTTCCGCAGATTATCAAGGAGACTCTGTGCAGTTATAGTTGTGCTGTACGGCAAATCAGGTGAGTTGCTCCGAGTTTCTCGCGCCGAGTCCAACCCATTGGGCGTCAGGGACCTATACGGATTGTCGTCAAACCCTCCCCGCGTTGGACTGACCCGTGGTGAGTTGCTGAATTGCGAGTATCTTGGATTGGTTGAGTGTGTGCTCTCTGTTGACCTTCTCGGTGGGTTGGATGTGGGTTTTGATGGCACGGTGAAGACAGGGCTGTAAGCCGGGTCGGGAGCACGTGGTAACGATGTGTTAAGAGGAAGCTTCGGTGGAATGGTTGGTAAATTAGATGAAGAGCCCATGACCCGAGGTCCCAATGGCCGTCTTGGCGGTGGAGAGTTGTAGTTCGATGAATAAAGTGGAGTTTGCCCAGCAGATCCTACAATTGGGCTTCCCAGCCGAGTAGTACTTGCTCCCAACCCATGCTGGTTGGAAGGAGGAGACGCCTTGAGTTTGGCAAAACGTTGCGCAAGTGTGTCATCTGCAGGACTGGAAAACCTCTGCAAATTTACCTCCGTCTCGGGCACTCTTTGATACTGAGTTGGACTTGGCATTCTAGCGAAGTTTGTTCCAGACTCTTGATTCTCACGGCCCCGTGGCGTGACAGAAATTTGTTTTGGGGATCTGGATGTATATATACCGGTTGGCTGCATGCCACTGACCAAATTATCCTCGATGATTTCCCGCTTGATCGCATCCATAGTGCCTTGTTTGGACCGCACCGCCTTCACTAGATCGGCGAACTCCTTGTACCAATCAGGGCGTTGGCTGACGGTGCGATAGTCTGGATGATGGGGAATGAGATTGATAGTGATTTCAGAGGCACGAAGGTACTGAACGTAGGCTTTATCGTTGTATTCGTCGTCTGAGAGGTTCTTGGCCTTTGCGATTGCATCGGCAGCCGTTGGCAAGAGGATATCAAGCTATGATCCCGGTTAGAGGAAATAATTCACACAATTGTCAGAAGTGCGCATATACCGGTGTAGTCTCGTTAACATTCAACGCAGCAGCTTGGTCTTGTAGGTCTTTGATATTGGGGAACCGAGGTCGCCGTGGTGGGACGAGAGGGGCCTTGCCCTTGGGATACGAATCTGGTCGGGTGACTCGTCCGTTGGGATCCATGTCGTTCCCCATGTCGTTCCCCACCGAGTAAGGACGCCGGTTGTCCTTCCACGGTGGTATTTTTGGGGGAGATGGCAAAGTCGCCGCATCGGAGGACATGGTAGATCCAGGCAGCGACAAGCGGACTTAGCGCATGGTTATGTCCAAGATTAGGAAAACAAAGAGAGTAAAGCCAAAAGACAGGCGTACCCAATCCGCCGAATAATTGATCAAGTCCAAATAACAAACACAAATAACGAAAGACAGACCAGAGTAAAGAGGACAGATCCAGGGACAATGCGGGATGCCTCTGGGGTAATCAGATGACAGTACTTCACCGCCCTCAGCCTATGACGCCAGGGGCTTAGTCACTACTGAGGTGCCTGGAAGCTCCTCCTCCAACTTGCCAGTCTGATCTTCATATTTGCTAGATTAAGTGTCTTGGCTATCTGCAACGCTACTGTGATCTGAGTCCCCTCCAAATTAGACGTGCATCGGGTGTTTCGCCTTCGCCATGGCAGGCTGGTTCTCTTCAACCTCGCCGCTCGATGAGCAAATCGAGCGGGCGACAGCTTCCTCCTTGTGAGTTTTGATTGCCGCGTTGTTATCATACCTATATGAACCGGGGCTACCTACCAGGATGCTCTGAAATGAATGATCGCGTGGCTAACTCACTCTCAGGGAAGACATTGCCCTCAACCTGGAGATATCAGATATGATTCGATCAAAGAGCGTTCAGCCCAAGGATGGAATGAGGTCTTTGAAACGACGACTCGAGAATAAGAATCCCAACATCCAGCTGGCGACACTGAAGGTGAAACATTTATTCCCGTGAGACTAGGCTTGGAACAAGCGCTGATAAGCCCGCCCCTCTAGTTAACGGATACTTGTGTCAAAAACGGAGGAACACATTTCCTGGCCGAGATCGCGTCTCGAGAATTCATGGATAACCTTGTCTCATTGCTTAAATCCGAAGGCGCTCCTCTTAATGCCGAGGTGCAGGGCAAGATATTGGAACTTATCCAGAATTGGGCTATGGCTGCACAAGGCCGTATGGATTTGATGTATTTGGGAGAGACATATCGCAAATTGGAGAGTGAAGGATACCGGTTTCCACCAAAGACCGAAATGAGCGGCAGTATGCTGGAAAGCAGCGCAGTGAGTGTGCCTCAAACCCTTCCGTTGCAGAAGCTAATTTGTGAATCTGTCTCAGCCTCCAGAGTGGATCGACTCTGAAGTCTGTATGCGATGTCGGACTGCCTTCAGTTTTATGAATCGCAAACACCACTGCCGTAACTGCGGCAACGTGTTCGACGCTCAGTGTTCAAGCAAGACCATTCCTTTACCGCATCTTGGAATTCTGCAGCCCGTCAGAGTAGACGATGGATGCTATGCCAAATTGACCTCCAAGTCATTTGCGCCACCGGGAATTTCGGATCGGTCCGCGTTCAAAAACAACTCCATCAGCAAATCTAACACGATGGAACCTCGTGCTGGTAAACCGGACACAGGGTTCGATGAGGATTTGCGTCGAGCGTTGCAAATGAGTCTCGATGAAGCCGAGGGCAGAGGTCCTTCCGGGTTTGTACCGCAGACAGGCAACGCTCCAGAACCGGCCAAGGCTGTTCCAAAGCCGGAGAATGTGGACGAGGAAGATCCGGATCTCAAGGCTGCGATTGAAGCATCCCTGCGTGATATGGAACAACACAAGCAAAACCATGCGGCCGCATTGAAGAACGTGCCCACTTCAAATTCCACCTTGCGCGATTCCTCGAGCACGCCCACTCAATTGCCTAAAAATCCGTACGAACTAACCCCTGTTGAAACCGAGAATATTCATCTCTTCTCTACACTGGTTGATCGGCTCCAGCATCAGCCGCCGGGCACAATTCTTAGAGAGCCGCAGATCCAGGAGCTATACGAGAGTATCGGTGCGCTTCGACCAAAGCTGGCACGAAGCTATGGAGAGACCATGAGTAAACATGGTGAGTTCAGCTGTCTTTATTTATAGAACTGCAAGCTAATCCTCACAGATACATTATTGGACCTCCATGCCAAGCTCTCTACGGTTGTACGCTACTACGATCGGATGCTAGAAGAGCGTCTGACCAGAGCCTATTCCCAACACAATCTTGGTCATGGAGCTGTTCCTGGGGGCGCGCAGTATCCAAATCTTCAGCCAGCCTTCTCTAATCACGCTCCCGACGTCCAGAGTGGAGCCGAGAATTTCTATTATGGAACTCAAATGGACAGCTCTCGCCCACCTACTACTATGTATGCTCCGCAGCAGGTGAACGGCGATGGGTTCCAAGTTCCATCCACCTACCCATCACAAGCTCAACATGGTGCCCCGACAAATGAGTCTTATGGTCAGAATTGGGGTGGAAATACCTACCCGGCCCTTGGATCACCTCCACCTAGCAATGGCATTCCAAATAACTATGCCAATGCCCCAACGCCCAGTGCCCCGGCTCAATATTACGCAGCACCACACGACCAAGACACAGCCAGGTCACCCGGCGCAGAATCCCCATACCAGCCGTCGCCCATTATGCGCCGGGACTCCTCTCAGTATCAGGCCGGTGCAACTCCCAGCGGTCCAACCCCCGCTCCCGAACAACACGCATCTGCCGGGTATGTGCAATCGCCGGGCTATTCTGTGCCACCCACTGCGCCAGCACTTCATCAGCAGGCAACGGGCCCTTCTCAGTCTTACTATTACCCGTCACAACCCCAGCCTCAACAACCTCCTAATGCTGTGTCATCTGCATACCCTCCGATTAACGCTGGACAACCGGGGTCGTATGGACAGGAAACTTCGCAACCGCCTTATCAGCAACCAGCACGGCCCGTGGAGGAGAACCTGATTGAGCTATAGCGTCATTATACTTCGTTCGGCGTTATCTATGTTTTCATATTTTGCGTTTTTTTTTCGCCTCATGATACCTGAAGACTTTTAGCAGATTGAATGTGTAGCTTGAAGTGGGTGAATGAAGGGATCTCAAGTATACACGAAAAGACACTGCCTATTGCCAGTGGCTAATGCTGCCAATAGTTATTTCCAATATCCTCTAGAGCTCTCTACATTCTTAAGAGTGCATTTTAAATTATTTATGTAGCTGGGAGACGACCTGGATTGTTCCATTTATAGAAGAGCCTCGCCGCTGCCTTAGGCATTCCACAATATTGTTACCGCTCTTTAATCGCCGAAGACAGCGACCTCGCTCTCCCTCTTCTTCACTACTCTAATTTGCCCCGGATTTCTCTCCTGCTCTTATTCTTTTCGCATTCCATTTGATTTTTCGTTCATTATTAGCGGTTCGAACCGGTGTAACCCGGCTTTCAGCTTTTGAGTCTTGATTGCTTTTTGCCTGCATGCCCTCTAATCTGCCGTGAGACCTCTTGAACGACTTGCCTCGGCCAATCGCCACACTCTATGCTCTGTGACCACCGCTGATTACCCGCCTGTGGCTCCTCTGGGGTCTTTTTGCTTACCGCCATGCCTACCTCTAACGCTTCAAATACCTCTTCCCCTGTTAAGCGCCCCGGCCTCGGTCGCCGTGCAGTGTCCTCCCATGCAGTTGTCACGCGCAGCGCCAATCCTAATGACCTGTCGGTGTCTCACACGCAGAAAGCACCCCTACATCATAAACCTCACCGCACCCATGTTGTTGGAGCTCACCGTAACCACCACCGCAACCCCTCTACCGGCAAAAACTTCAACAAACTCCAACGTCTCCAAGTAGCAGCTCCCGAGACTGGTGGGCGGCACCATCAGCGCAAGAAGTCAGCCCCCGCAACCCCGATCGCGAGTCCAAAGGAAAGCGGGCACGTTCGCTGGGATCCGGTTGTAAATGACCATACAACCGATCCTTCCATGAAGCGAAACTTTTCCACTCCTGTGTTGCGACGGAATCCATCAGCCGTTGGGAAGAAAGCGTTGGTGACTGAGCGACCGCCCTCCAGCGCGTTAAAGAAAAAGTCGGTCGGCTTTGAGCTGGGGGATGACGAGACTGACGACGCTGAGTGGGAAGATACCACACAGTCACCCGAAAGTACGAGGCGCAACTCGGTGGCACCATCCAATCCCAGCGCAGACAATAGTACCGTTCTTGTCGACCACCTTACCTTCGTCAAGCGACCATACCCCCAAATGCCTCGAGCGACCAGTCTGCCCGAGTCGATCACCACCAAGTTTGTCCGAGAGCGTACTGAACTGCATGAGGATGAGGTTGCGGATGAGGAAGCCGAGCAGCACGATGAGGAAGAAGAAGCCGAGGAGTCCAGTCAGCACACGGAGCAGGGCGACATAGCAGCCCGGCTGCTAAGTCCTACGCACTCATCCAAAGCGCCCCCTGCCATGTCTTCTATCTCGGCTATGGTGAAGCCGGAAGCCAATAGTCTCAATACCCCGTCGCGTAGTAGCGCATCTCTCAACCTGGCTGCTGGCCAGGACAACGCTCGGCGCACATTGTCGTCAACCAGCATGGCCAGCATGCCGGGCTCTCAACCCCAAGCTACCTCATCCTCTATGGAAGGTGGAGTCTCCAGGTTCATTTTGGACAACAAGAATAGCGTTGAGGAATCTTCTCGCAACGATTCGGACCCGAATACTCCCTCGTCGTTCCTCCCACACTACCACCCCGACACACCGCCCTCTCCAACTAGTGCAGCGGCCAAGATGATCGCGTCTCCTGCGCGGCCGCGTGGTGCTGACCTGCCTTCTCGCACGCAACAGAAGCTCTGGCTGCAACGTACCGCTACCCTGAATAACTCACCTCCTGATAACCATGGAGTGACCGCAGCAGTTCCGCCGTCTACCATTGACCCGACATTTATCGCCGCTAACCACAGCACGTATGACGCCGCCAGGGGGCTCAACGGTGACGGCCGAGCTGGCGGTGCAGGACATGACAGCGAAACCCGTCATATCCGCAAGGCGTATGAGAAGACATCCCTAGAACTAATGGTCGTGCGACGTTTCCAGTCTCCCACCGGTCAGAGCTTCGCTCGTCTTCGTCATATCGTCCGAGCCAAGAAAGCGGAGCAAGGATCAGCTCTTATCAAAGCAGTCCAATCAGCACCTTCGCTGTCCCTTTTGCAGCAAAGCAAGCAGCCCACTCGTCTTAGCACCAGCCCTACATCTAAATCCCAGCCGCGTAATCCAACCCGCACTGCATCTGAAGATCCAGCGACAAATAACGAACATCCCAATACCACAAATGCTACCAAGGCCAACGACCCATCCCACCGCATCTTCTCCACTTCAACCGAAGCTTCACGTGGCCCGAATGGTGACAACGACGAAGGATTTGAGCTTAACGACAGCGCCATGTTGATCCGCCGGATGTGGGAGAGCCGAGAGGTCGCCATCCACGGCTAATTTATGATTTGTTTCACCCCTTTTATGTTTATGACGGTTCACTCTATGGTTGTTCGGCGCTCGCATTCTGTTTTTTTTTTTATCACAGCGATCAGGTTGAACATAATTTATCCTTGTTCTTTTTGCTTTCCTGCCCTGCACCTCTATTATGTTGATATGAGTAGCCAATGCCACGAATTTCCATGGTAATCACAACCCACACAGCCCACTAAGCCCACTAATGTCCCTTGTCGATCCAAAACAAATCGGCCGCCTGGGAGTGGCCTGGTCGGCTGTTGTCCTTGCACCGGCTGCTCTGACTTCCGGGGAAGGGCTGCATGGCCTGACCTGCTGATTAATCGCCAATCCCGCTCTCCTGATTTGCCCTACAAAACCCTAACTAGATGGCCTCATACTCCAGACTTCTTCAGACTTCTGTTTCGTTTGGAATATACTAGGAAAGCCATCATGGATCTCGTCCCGCTGGTAACAGGTCAAGTCCTGCGCGCCGCATACTATACCGCCGGACTTGTTCTGGTGTCAATCGTCCTCAATGTGATCAACCAGCTCGTCTTCTACAACAGAAAAGAGCCACCTGTTGTCTTTCACTGGATTCCTTTTATTGGAAGTACAGTGGCCTATGGCATGGATCCGTACCAGTTCTTCTTCGCTTCTCGTGCCAAGGTGTGTAGATCTTGCACCTCTTGATGCTTCCGTAATGAAAGGTGACGCCTACTAATGAACGGACTTAGTACGGCGATATCTTCACTTTCATTCTGCTAGGCAAGAAGACAACCGTATATCTCGGTGTCGAGGGCAATGAGTTCATCCTCAATGGAAAGTTGAAGGATGTCAACGCCGAAGAAGTCTACGGCAAGCTTACAACGCCCGTCTTCGGATCTGATGTTGTCTACGATTGTCCTAATTCTAAACTTATGGAGCAAAAGAAGGTATATCCCCTTCTGCCACTTATTACAAATCTCATATCCAGAGCTAATCCAATCCTAAACAGTTCATCAAATACGGCTTAAGCCAAGAAGCCCTAGAATCCTATGTCCCCCTAATCGCCGACGAAACAAATGCCTACATAAAATCATCCCCCAACTTCAAAGGCCAATCCGGTACTATTGACCTCGCCGCTGCCATGGCCGAGATAACCGTCTTCACAGCAGCTCGCACCCTCCAAGGCGAAGAAGTCCGCGCCAAAATGACCTCCGAGTTCGCCGAGCTCTTCCACGACCTTGACCTCGGCTTCTCCCCGATAAACTTCATGCTCCCCTGGGCCCCTCTCCCCCACAACCGCAAGCGAGATAAAGCACACGGACGTATGCGCGAGATCTACCTCGAGATCATCCAAGCGCGACGCGAAGCCGGCGAACAAGACAACCTCACCGGCAGGGATAAAGCCAAAGGCACAGACATGATCTCGAACCTGATGCGCTGCGTGTACCGCGACGGGACACCAATCCCAGACAAGGAGATCGCTCATATGATGATCACGCTGCTGATGGCGGGCCAGCACTCCTCGTCCGCAATCAGCTGCTGGATCCTTCTGCGACTCGCCTCACAGCCCGAGATGACAGAGAAGTTGTACGCGGAACAGATCCAGAACTTGGGCGCTGATCTCCCGCCGCTGCAGTACAAGGATATGGATAAGCTTCCCCTGCACCACAACGTCATCAAAGAGACGCTGCGTATCCACTCGTCTATTCATACGCTTATGCGCAAAGTGAAGAATCCCATGCCGGTGCCTGGGACTGACTTTGTTGTTCCGCCGTCGCATGTACTGCTGTCTTCGCCTGGTGTTACGGCACGGGATGCGCGGCATTTCCGTGATCCCTTGCGGTGGAATCCGCATCGCTGGGAGACTCGGGTTGAGGTTGAGGATTCTTCGGATACCGTGGATTATGGGTATGGCGCTGTCTCTAAGGGAACGCGCAGTCCGTACTTGCCCTTCGGCGCTGGAAGACATCGTTGTATTGGTGAGAAGTTTGCGTATCTTAATTTGGAGGTTATAGTCGCCACGCTTGTGAGGGAGTTCAAGTTTTTCAATCCTGAAGGGATGGAGGGGGTGCCGGATACGGATTATTCGGTAAGTCTTTTGGTTTCTTTTGGCTTGGGTTGATGGGGACATGGGCTGACTTCTTTCTAGTCTCTCTTTTCACGTCCTATGCAGCCGGCGACTGTGCGATGGGAAGTCCGCTCGTAGGGCTTGGGAACACTATTAGTCTTAGTCTTAGTCTCGGCGAGTCAACTTTTGTTTATGAAAAATGTTTGTATCTTTAAAGAGAGGAGAGGTCATAAGTTCAGAAGTAATTTATCAATAATAGGCAGTATATCCATCTATTCCGGTCTTTTGTAAGTGACCAGTACTTCAATCGAACGCCATATTTACCCAGACAGCTTCTAAATTGATAAACAAGACCGAACATGGTGGATAGGTGAAAGGGGGGGGGGAGGGGTATGAGTAGATGGTATGAGATTTCAATGAAAGAACTAATGGTATTGTAGTTCAAAAGCAATCATATCTCGGTGGAAATTGAATGGAAGCTGAAAACGTACATGAAGAAAAGCCATTGAGAGAATGAATGCCTTCTTCTCATGTTGTTATGCGTCGTTCTTGCCCCTACCGCGTTGATTGCCGCCTCCACGGCGACCATTGGCATTCCCAGAAACATCTCCAGCACGATTTTTATTCGGTGCTCTTTGAGACTGAGCTGGGGCCTGACCACTCTGATTCGTCTTGGGGTTTGTATGCCCAGAGCCTGGAGCCGATACGCGCCTGTGATCTTGAGGAGCAGGTCCATCACCGGTGTTTTTGTTGGCTCGACGCTTACGCGGGCCACTGGCAGCGCTAGATGTCTTGCCGCCTCGTCCACCCTTTCCAGGGCGAGGTTCATTTGGCTCCGGGTCTACCAATCCTTGCACACGCTTACTTTCTTGGTCCCACCACTGCTGGAACTCCTGCTCGGCTTGGATCTCTTGCATTTTGTGCTTGGCGGTGGCTGCTTCCCGAATCGCTTCCTTTTCTGTTTGTTGCTGGAGCAAAATGGCCGACAGAGAGTACGAGCCAGAGGGTGAAGAGCGTGATCCTGTTAGGTCAGGGCGTGGGATGTGACGAATTGACTGGATGACTGGCTGTGGTGATGATGGTTGATTGTTGGGAGGTACTGTAGAAGGTCCCGATACGGAAGGTTTCGAATGAGAATAGGGCTGTGGGTTCCCTGACACACTACGGCGTTGTGTTTGCACGGGTGTAGCCACTGTCTTTGACTTTGACGGCGGCGTGCCAGCCACAGTCTGCCGCATAGTCATGGACCTTTGAGGTGATGATTTAACAGCCTGAGATGCTGGGGCGCTTTGACCTGGGAGAGGGTCGAGTTTAGGGAGCGACGCTGGAGAAGAAGCTGCTGGCTTTTGCCAGGGGTTCTGTGGTGCCTCCTTCGCCTTCTGCTGGGCAGCCAGCTGATCTTGTATCTGTTGTTGCTGAAGCTTCTTTCGCTCCTTCTGAGAGATCTTAGGCACGAAGTTACCGCTGCTTTCGCGTCGATCTGCCATGCCTAGCGTGAGATTGGATACCCGAGACTGTAATGCTTCTCCCATGATGTCTTTGATATCCTTCTTGGAACTAGAAATCATTGGCGAGGTCCATGGCGCAGAAGAGGGATTAGATGACGATGCTAGGGCTTCTTTTTGGTTTTTTGTCATCGCCCTGGACTCAGATGGGGACTGTAGTAGCGGATCTTGTGGGGAAGACATCTGATCCTTCAAGAAACCATACTCACCGAAGGACTCGGCCTCTGGGACGCTTGCCCCCAAAGCTGGGGAGTCAGGGTATGATTGATTTTCAGGTATGCCTTCTGTGAACCTGAGTTCACGCATGACACCCTTGCCTTTCGAAGCACTTGGTGATATGAGGGCCTCGTCGTCCATTTGAAACATGAGATCACCAACCGACGGTCTCGACTTCAGCATTGGGCTATTACCAACATTTGGTGACTCCCGGGATACACTGTTCTTCGCCTTGCGTGCAGACGGAGATGAGGTACCCTTCTCGTTATGCATTGACCGGGTTCGCGCATCGTCATACGGCTCGAAACGACCAAGGCGGGACTGCAAAGTCATGGCATCGATCCTTCGTTGCTTATCTGCTTCCACGGAGCTGACAAGTTCGGGGTATTTCTCGAAGACATACTCCTCAGAATTGCGCCCACGGGATATGGGCCAGCACGCCAACTGATTTTCGTGACAGATCAGATCCAACTCCCAAAGCAGAGTAGGATCCAGATCTTCGAGATATCTGTTAGCGAGCATGGCCTCGAGATTTAGACAGATATATTCCAGGGCAGCATCCTTGAACTCTGTGACACAGCAAGGGGCAATTGAATTGAGCAAATAGCACACGTTTCGCGTTGTGACGAAACGACCGAGCATCTTCTGACATACTTGAGATAGTCGGTCGATCATCAGCTCATTTGCCACGAACATGACATCCAGAAGCAAGTCAATGAAATCATCAACATCTCCAATCCGTACTTCATCAAACAGTCGGTCTTCCGTATCGGCATATAGGTAACGCAGGACGAATTCAAATGTCGAGCGATCAATGTGCTTTAGGTCGACATGCACGCTCTGGTTTGGGTCCGCCTTGCGCGAGTCTAGCCACCTTCCACCCGCATGACCATGGAAGAGTGTGTCAAAGAACGGACATCTCTGGCACACGACTTGACTGTGCACTTTGATTGTATCGCCTTTGAGCTGAAGAGTCACGTCTGCGCTGTCAAATAAGAACGAGTGATTGATGGCATGGGCCATGTCGATTTTCAGGCTCCTTTGCGGCTCGACCATTAGTCGTGCTGCCCGCTCCAGCGCTGGCAGGCCTAGTTGCATAGAAACCCGCATAACTTCAGTGCGAACCTGCCGGAAACGGGCCGAGTTTGCGGGCGAGCTCCTTGCCAGGCGCCAGACATCGAGAATACCGTCTGTGTAAAGGAAAAAGACCACGTTCATAACGGTCAAAAAATCAACACCTTGAAGGCAGATCTGCGGATGTCCGTCCTTCCCGTATTCAATACCAAAAACGTCGGGGACGGATGAATAATATGACTGGCGGAACTCGGCCAATGCCTTTCCAAGAATAGGAATGCGGCCAGCTATGAGAAATTCATGAACAGGAATACAAGAGTCGGATAGGGAGCTGGTCACCCAAACAGTCCCCTCGCTCCGTACAGAAAGAAATTGGCTTTCAATATCCGATGATGAAAGGATGGCTCTTTGGATGCTTTTTCCGGATGAAAGTACAAGAGGGATATTCTTAGCGTCATCTTCGAGGATCGAGTCCAACTCTTCCAGACCTGGGGTTGAAAACGGGGACAACGGCAACATATCATCCCAAAGGCTGCTTTGCTCGACATTAATTTGTTCCCTGGTCACTTCGCAGTCACGTTGAGCCACGGCGTAGGCCCCAAACGCATTGCTGCGCACTGCCACTGCCCGTGAGAGACCAGGTATGCGGGCAAATTTATATTCTTTCGACGCTCCCTCCTTGTTCTTTGTCCGCCGTTCTTTTCTCCACGCAGATCCAGATGTTGTACAGATGATAATCGATCCGTCTTGTCCAACATCAACATCACTCGCTGCCATGTATGATTTCTTAACGGACCATGCTTTAACAGGGGCGGCTAATGAATTTCGAATCTTTGCAGGATTGGTTGTGGACGTTAAAGCCGAAGAGTTATCGGACTGGTTGGCTTGAACAGTGAATACATCACCAGAGCTGGATAATGCACATATGGTGTTGCCTCCACACACAATCTTGACAACACGGTTTGCAGTCTTGTCGTATCTGGTTGCCATGAAGCTATCCCTGATAAATCTGGAGCTCACTTCTAGTGGGAATGAAAGCTTTGAATAGCCATATGATGAGAAAACCCAAACTTCGTGGTTCTGCAGAAGCACAGACGTAGCACGGTCAATGGCGGACACCATCTTGATTGGACAACTGAAAAGAGATGCTCCAACGCGCCGTGGTGTCGTTTGTATCTCAAGCGAACGCGCATCGGAATCGACCAAGCCAAGTTGACCTTCGTTCTTGCCAAACGTATAGAGACCAGAGGTACTGAAGACCACCGAGTGAATAGATGACGCTGCTGCACCTATGATCGTCTCTTTCTTGAACGGATTGAAAATCTGGCGAGGAGTCGTCTGGATGGGAATGTCGTTTTTGTTGCTAGTCCTAGGAAGGCCATAGCCAAGTTGTCCGAACTTGTTGCTTCCCCAGCTGAAGATCTCACCCTGCTCGGTGATTGCCAGGCTATGGTCTTGACCCAGAGCAGCCGATAAGACTTTCTTCCCCTCTAGTCCACCTGTCTCAATACAAGCAAAGGTGAAACGCGTCGACTCATCTCCCGTTCCTAGGCGCCCTCCAGGACCGAATCCACACATGAACAGATTAGCCTCGGGGTCATCTGTGATTATGGCAGTATGCAGTTTGGACATAATAATGTCTTGGAACTTCATTGGCTTGTTTGTGATCAAAGTGGGCAGCTCGGTCGTTTTGGTCTTAGGCACGGTATCTTCGAGCCCTAGGTGTTCCAATTTCTCGTGATATTCACGATAAAATCGATGCAAAAGATGCTCAGGGCGCTTCAATGAGATGCGCTCAGGAAATTGTCTGTCATCCTGATCCCCTAAACCAAGGTTCAGGTTTTTGTTGCTTCCTAATGTGAAGACTTCATCGGCGGCAAGATCCACGGCCCCTTTCAGGACACTCCTAAGAGTGTATGCCCCATCTTCCCCATCATCTCCGAAGTTCGACGCAGCATTGGAAGCAACATCGCTGCCGAGGGCATCATCATCATTATATGAACTTGGCCAGTTTTCAGAGATATGCTTAATGTCGCGGGCTCTAATAGTCGCCCCGAAGACATCAAAAGGACTGCAACCCTCACGATCCTTGATCTTGATAAGGCCACCACTTGGATGGCTCGTATTTCCACCTTTGCTGAAATCTGTCATGTCCTGCAGATCGCGCGCCATGAGCGCCAGAGCAATTGTGGCGTTCCCGGCATAAAGAGCCCGATGCAGAGCCGTCCACCCACTCTCCCAGTCCTGCGCATATATATCGATAAACGGAACTTCTAACAAAGCACGTGCAAATTTGGACGCGGTAGGTCTCGAGGACGAAGCGACATGGTGCAGCAGTGTACGGCCGTAATGATCACGGGCGTTAACATCGGCACGCGACAAAGTCGCGCTCCCACGCGGTAAGGCCGCCCGGTCAGGCACAAAGGCCCCAGGGGATGATGCGATATTCTTTTTATTTCTCGGTATATTTGGAGACGAAGCAATCATGGACCCAGGGCTTCCAGCTTTCGATGACAGGTTTGTCGCAGCTCTGGAGGTCCCTCCTGAGCCTCCGGCAGCTCGCGGGCCCGCGAACGTCGCGTTCGCCAGAGACCGCTGGAACCGCTCGACATCATCTTGAATGAAACACTCCCAAAGCTTATTACTCATGTGCCCGGAGTGGTCGACGCGCCGAATCTCTTATCAGGCCCAAGCTGAGCGTCGCCGTCACCACAGTGGGGTGGACCGCGACGGGGGAGCTAGGTGATAAGAGAACTCTGGTTCAAGGGGAAGGGTAGGAATTGCCGACGCTATGGGTATAGGTCGACGCGATCGTGGTGTCACAATTTTTGATCGTGGATTTGACGCGAAATGGATTGTGGGCTCGGGGTTTGCGCGTGTGGCGAACGGGCTTATTTGCGGGCAACTCGAAAGTTTTGAGGAAGAGGAACGACCTTGGGAGGGATGCTCGACGGAGTTGGAAGATCTGCAATGTCTCGAGATGTCTAGATGGTTGGAAGAAGCAAGATGTCTTGAGTCGCACTTAGCAGAAATCCAGCCGGTTTGCCCTCCATGTCATCCGTGGATCGTGGAGCACTGCGCAGTGGACGATAATGACCTCCGGGCCCAAACCCCACAAATACAGTAAGTAGTAGTACATCTATATCGAGGGTTCGGACTTCCCAAACTGCTCTGAATATGTAGTTAAACATGTCTTTTAAATGAGTAACATAGATCTAAAAGCTTATAGACTCAACAACTTGCCTTGTAAGCCATTATCGGCTTCCAAAGCACTCCGTAGAATGTAAAGAACATAGCCAATAAGCTATATACTACGAGAATCCGTATTATATTCCCAGTGGACGTTATCACCGTCTCTTTCCAACCTCTGGCCAATAACGACGCGCACGTCCCTCCATGCCCCCGGACGAGAGGCGAGGATCATCCAGGGCAGAGCCCGTGGGGAACTGATAGGATGATGTTGTATGTATGACATTTCATTTCATTTCGGATTTCTCATCTAGAATGGCCTGACATGCAGATCAGATCTCTCATCTAGAATGGCCTGACATGCAGATCAGATCTACATCATAATCTTTCGACCAATTTCCAAGTCCGGAATCCCCGTCTTCAGCTGTGCACGTCGCCGGCTCAGCGCCGCATTCTCCCCCGCAATCTCCGTCAACTGATCCTCCGTCGGGTTCGCAACAGACTGAGGCGAGAAAAGTCCAAGCGGCTTGCGTGGTCGGGTGAACAGAAAGTAGCCGGTGGCTTTGAGTGCAGATGTTGTCGACAAACCGCTTAGATGCAACATCGTAGTAGGCAGCCAAGATGTCATGAATGTAACGAACAGTGCTCTCGGTGTTGCTCATTGGAGCTTTTGCCTCGTCGTCGGTAGGCTCATACTTCTCCCGGTGGCTGGTGGAAAGATGTCAGTGTATCTCGTAAGTCGATTAGGTTAGTCAGACACACCTTCTCTTTTGAGTTTCCTCAAGGCTCTCATAAAATCCGTCATTCAATGTCGTTATGTTCATGCGCTCGACATCAAGAACCAGCTTGGCCTGCTCCATTGCTTCTCTGTATCGCTTCGACAGCTCATCAGCGAGAACACTCACCAGTTTGTCGCAAATTTGCTCATCCGGGCAGGTGACTCCAAGGACTTTGAGAATAAAGGCATGCATGATTTCGATCACATCCCTAACATACCCGAGCGCGAGGTCGGCCCGTTTCCCAGATTGCCGGTTCATGATGGTGCACAATAAAGAGGGCGGAAATGTCCCCACTTCGAATCCGCGAGAAGTACAATACTGGTCCTCGATCCATGCAAGAATGCTGTCGGTTGTGGGCTTTTCCACAATCTCTTGCTCGTGAAGAATGCCATCAATAGCGCCACTGTTGTCCAACACACCCATGTGCTTGCGAACAGTGATTTCGCCACCATCTTCCTCATCCTCCTCATCTTGGATATCGGAAATCTCACTGACGAACTGGTATTCAAGCCCATATTCTTCCATTTCGGACTTCAAACCTTCCATGCGGTTTCTGACTATTGTTGTCAGTCGGGTATCCTTCTCTTTGTCGAACAATTCATGTGTGCCGTATGAAGTTGTCATGGCCTGCGAAACAATATCTTGAAATCGAGCTATGAAATCGAGCAGGAAGCTTCTCTGCTACTCCGGGGTACTTCGCTCATTTCCAAAAGCAGACAAATCATGCCTCATGGCCTTCGGCTTTCGACCAACATCGGTACGCATCTGCATATCAAGTCAGCCAAATCTACAAACAAAACGCCAGACGGTGTGGCATACCTTAGGAAACTCTCGACGAATTTGAGTCGTTTGCACCTCTTGCAGGCGAATCTTGAGGGCATGAATTCCAACTTTGTCCTTCGGAAGGTTGCTCCATGGGTGATTCTCCCGAAAGAACCGGGCCTCGACCAAGTCTCGGTCAGAACTCTGATCAAGTAGCTGTTGCTGGGCGGCATTGCGCACAACAATCCAGCCAAGCGGTAAGGAATGAGATTTGCCCTCAACCAAGTCGATGACCTTGTTTTCAGCCCCCTTGTCTACCAAATCGGGTTTAGTCAACACTCCCAGGGTGCGAATTTCCTCGGGATCGCACTCCTGCGCCATCTCGAGGATCTCGTGTGGCTATGTCCACATTTGCGGGAACGAGGTTTGCGCATGTAGCCCAGGACCATCTTCTTCACCATCTCCATATCCAGCTTGGTAGTGAGACCAGATGCAGTGTTCTTGAAAATACCTGGGACATCAATGATACTCAAATTATCTTCTTCGGGTCCACAGATCTCCAACCGGAAGACATCTTGAGTGAAGGTGGGCTTGAAAGGGTCGGTTTCCGAGCCCGATAAACCCATGGTCTGGTGAATCTATAGTAATAACTAGTCATTACAAGGGCTTCAGTTATGATTTGCTCAAGCAGCGAAACTTACCTCTTCCATGGTTTCAGCGAAAGATTGGGGTCGAGTGATTCCATATTGGCTCCTTGCCATGCTGCCAAGCGAGAAGCGTGCTCTGGGTCTGTGTCGGGTGCTGGAACGATAGAGGCAGTGACAGTCCTCTTTTTGTCCGCTTTGATCCGTCGGAAGATGATGTGAGTAGCAAACTGAGTGCAAAGTCCACTATCCCTGGGGAACGGCAACTTGGTAAGCCCCTTAAGAACGGAGCTTTTTCCACTGGATTGGTCTCCCGCAACAACAAGCTGGGGCAAGTTGACGTATTCACCAAGGTTGTAGGCTAGGAGCCGGTCAATCTTGTCCAGCAGAACTGGGTCACCGAGCCCTTGGCCAGGCAACTTTGGAGTAGACATAACGGCCACGGTGGTAGGGGATGAAAATGTGTGACGTTAGAAGGTTGGATTTATATCATCTTCTGAATGAATAAAAGGAGAGAAATGGTGAGTGAGAATGGGAAATAGATGGGGGGAAGGAGAAAATATCCATTCCTGTATATCTTTCAACTTGGACTAGGTTTCCAGAACTTTCCGATGATCTATGATAGCAATCATATCCTCTTCATCTACCCAGTTTCAATGGAGTCGCATTCTTTGAGTCTTTATTAGCACCCAATTGAGAATCACCTCTTAGCAAACTGATAGATTCAAAGAATTATCATTATACATACTTCCTGTGCTCTTTCTAACATATAGCATTATGTTTGTTTTAGAAGTCACTCCCCAAACATTTTTTCACTGACCCCCGTACGCAGTATTACGGCGTTCGATGGTCAAACCCCGGCGGTGTCCGGTTGGATTGGAACTCGAAGCCAACAAGTTGAGTTGTTCGTCAAGTTGGACAGCTCCGGGTTTTGACCATCGAACGCATTCGTTCGCATAAGGAAATTGCTTCCGAACGTAGTCCTGAAGGTCCGCCCATGCCGCTTGCTCTTTGCGCCGTTAATCGTCGCGTACACCGTACCAACAGGCCGCCCTTCTTCCTTGCTGAAACGGCTAGTAAAAGCCGACAGATCGGGGCCGTACCACTCTAGGCATTTGTTCAACTGGCGGCTGACAACAAAGGATCTATCATGGACCCCAAGATTCCGGAATCCGTACTTTCCACTTCCTTCCATTCACATGAGCGGTTCTTTGCTCATAACGTCAAAGAAGATCTCTGAAACCGAACGCCCCTTCACAGGGGGGTCGTAAATACCGCCGCCATCAACAAACGGTCTTGTTGCGTTGCATGGCGCAATATCGCGCCGCATTCCATTACGGAAAGCAAAGACAAGAAGCAGAACACCTTCGGCATAATTTATCGTCATGTGTAGAGACAACTCCTTGATAGTAACGGTGTCGAATGACGATCAATCATGCCGAAGGTGCTCGGGAGTACAGCGTACTTATCCGCTGACGACGGACCTTGGACATAGATCGTTCAGTGATCGAGAATATTGACCTTCGGTATCTGGTAGGACCGATCAAACTGCGCGGGTATCAACTGCACAGGTACACTCCGTGGGGGGCCACGCTTCGCCTTTTTAACAGCGCGTTGCACTTTAGCCTCGATATACTTGTCGAGAGAACCTCGGGTATACTTCGAAGAAGTACGACCGCCGCGACGGCGGCGGTATTAGCTCTTAGCCTTACCGGCCCAGGATTTCTTACCAGTTTTGAAAGCCATTTTTGTTATTTAGAAAGTTTAACAGATTTAGAATGAAAAGGGACTACCGTGCCATACTATATCATATATAATATAACATTGGCGGAATGCCAAGAATTCCCCTATCGGATCATTTTCTCAGAGTTCCAGTCTTTAGTTACTTAGAATATCCTTTCTTAGATACAGTTACAACTTGACCGTCTATATACTATAGGCAATACTATCATATTACCCGAGACTAACCCCTTCTGACTGGTTAGCTTACACTTATCTGACTAATAGTTAGTATCTCCTTCTACCGACTGGTAACTAGGTCCCTCCTATTCCTAAATTTTACCTAATCGGGGAAATACGTTGAGACTCAGACTCAAGTTTTTAGGGCAAAGTAATAGTAGAAGTGGGTCCACTTCATTGAAAAAAGTCTGTCCAATTAGATTCAACTTGATAAACAACTCCACTTGGTTGCTGCGAGTTCCAATCCTACCGGACACCGCCGGGTTTTGACCATCATACGTACAGTACATGGGTATCAGATATAATAAGGTTTGCGGGCCGAACCCATGTTCTCCGTACCCGAGCTCCTCTGCCAAAATTATTGTTTAGGTTAACTATTTCAGTGCACATACTAAATTATTTGCATATAACAATACAATGGGGCAGACTATCTGTGTGATACTAGGACATTCAGGCCCGAAGGATCTTCCCTGTCGTTCAGTCACCTATATCACCGGGAAATCCATTAGATAGTCCTTGATAACAAAATATTGGGAGCGATCATCTAGCTATCCAACTATCCATTTAGTAGTTTAAAGAACTAATTTTTGTTCTTTTCGTACTTGGATTAATTTCAACCCTTTTGAATATTAAGTATACTGAAATGAAAATGTGGCATAATCACAGGTGAGAATAAATTTTTGTTCGACTTCTCCGATCTAGCCCGAGGGCTCGGAATGGAGCGGCGGTCGCCCCAGCAGGTTGGAGTAATCTCTTGTTAGAGACTTGGATGGTAAAAAGATATATTAAAAAGCAAAGTCGGACACAGCTGGATCGCAAAGTCAAAGTAAGCAGAATCCGCACAGGTTATTCACATCTTTTTCGTCACTCCCAGAGCCCTCCAATGCCCTATCAAACCCCCAGTGCAATGGATGCCGCGAAGAAGAGCACCAAGCTCGCTTGCTATCCCAACTGTTTGCACAATTTCTGCAGCCACCCTCGATGCTTCAATCTAACTACTTGTCTCACTTACACAGACTGTCATGTATGCGGTTCGAGAAAGTATTTTATTGAGGTTTGGAGGCTTTAGGAAGTTGGAGCCGGGGATTCAGCAGCCTCTTCCTGGGCATATTTGGCTTCGGCGCTAGCAAAGGCAGCGTCCAGCTCCGTGCAAGGCTCATAGCTGGCGATACCAACAACTCCGTCATCCTTGTCCTTCAGGTAGTACCCTCCATTTTCGGGGAATAGAGAGCCGTAAGGTTGATCTTTGGCCATGTCGTGGAGGGCCTGTCTATCGATGAGGATAATAGAGTCACTTGGAGGCGTGGCCTCGTCGCGGGTGAGGGCTTCAACCATGGCGGTAAAAAGGCAGAGGAAGGGCACGATGGAGATGAAAGTGAATTTCATATCGAATGAGGGGCACATAAGGATCCCTGTAACGAGTATGTGTCTTAGTCATCTCTTTTTATGGTCCACAGGTGTATCGTGAAATCTTGAGGCATAGGTTGCCCTTGAACATACCTTATGATTGATTGAAAGGAAGTATGAGACTATGATAGCGATGGAAACATGATGTCTTCTTTATAGCACTTGGATGTGACTAGGTCAGTCAACTGTCCTCCCTGCAGACAACTATATAGTCAATGATAAGTAATCATATCACGTTGAATGCTCTTTGCAAGTGTGCCCATTTTTCAGTTATTTCAAGGATTCATGCAGCCACCGCCCCAGGACGGAGGGGTGACATGCATTCATGAGAGGTTTCGCCCGGTATTACGAGGCTAGAGGGTTGGAATGATCTAAGACATACCAGGGTCTTTCGAGGATAGGGTGTTCAATGGATTGTTGCTGTCTTTGTGGCTTTTGTGGTGGAACTGTGAGAATGTCCGAGATAGGCATACAATACATGTATATCCCCTAGTCAAACATCCCAATATAAACAAGCCCTGACCGGCGGGAGATGCCGCCGTTCCGGATGTATACGACTACAGGAAGGACATATTCAAGTCGTCTGAAATAGTTGATTTGAGGATTGCTAGAGTTGCTTTGGGAAACATAATACTATGACATCAATACCCTTCAATATATATGTTACCGCTTGGACGCCGAAAACATACCAACTATGCCCAGCTTGAACACACCCATGGACCTATATAGACAGATGACCTCTTGGAAATGCCTGCTAGTAAAATAAATTGTTTATAATTTTGTAGTACGAAACCAGATATATTTAGTGAGTGAGGCTAACCAAAAAAAGAAAAAAAAAAGACAATGAGGCTGACCCGATTTGAACGGATAACCTTGCGAACTGGAGTCGCACGCGCTACCGTTGCGCCACAGCCCCTTGTTCGTGATATTTAACATAATGATTAGTATGTTAAAGGAAAAATTGTTATCCAACCCTTCACTAGCCTCATGCTACGTAGACATATACTCTGACTGAACGAATAATTTCGAAATAGGTATAGAAGCAGTCAGCCCTTGAGAGCAATGGACTTAGTAATTATGATAGCTTGGATCACTGTTAGCATTTGTTATCTCATGGGTAGCAAGTGGCTGCGCTAATTTATAGATTGACCTCTTTGTTAGACCAATTACAGGACTACGAGGCATCCATTTGAGGATGCTATAACAGCTTCCTATGGCTTGGTTCCGTTGTTCCGTTTATCTTGGGCTGATTTTTATCTGTCTAGTCTACTCCACATGAGCTTCTTTGAATTTCATACGGAAATGCCTTATTGTAGGGCCCCAATAGTACATAACCCGAAAGATTTCCGGCTTGATGGGTGAATTTGAGGGATTTGGGCGATATTTTCAAAAATGGTGAATATGCCTTCTTTTTTCCTCCTCCTGTTGTTTTCCTTCTGGAATTGTATATGTGGCGCCCCTGAAGAGAGTTTCTTCAACAATATGTGATCCACTACTACTCCGTATGCGAAAAATTCAGCTCCGGGCCCTCCGATGTACGGAGTACGGGTGGGTCTTCACTCTAAAACTAAGAGGCAAAATTAGTCAAAGTCCTGAATCCCGGCGAGATTATAAGAGTAAACCCACAAGAGCTTAGTTAGACAGCGCGTAAGCCTAAGGTCTGCAGCAGTTTAGAAGAGCTGCTCGGGATGATCAATTGTGGGGCTAAACTAGCGCATCCCACAGCTCATCCATTATTCTGGGATTTGGTGAAGAAATAAAGCTGGAAAATGTTGACCGAAGGCTGAAATCATAACAAAGAATAGAAGCTATACCGAACCAAAGACCATATGCCTTTAAAACATAAAAAAAAGTTGAGGATGTCCATCGCTATTGACCATGGACTCGATCTCACCCGGGTATAACCATAGGATGTTGTATGTCCACGTGCATATCATAAACTAGATCCCTATATCACTTACAACATATGCTCCCCTCTATCCTCTCATTTCTGCTTCTACCAATCGGTCTTGTATCCTATTCCAAACCTCACTTCTGATTAAGCTCCACACTTACCAAAAGGGGAAGTGTCATCTGCCTCCCAACATCTCTGGAATTTTGTCTCGACAGAATGAAGCTGAAAAGTGCAACCCAAGTCCTTTCATGTGAAGCGCCAATACAAAGTTAGCGTCAGCATCTTATGCAAGAGCCTGCTTTTTGCAAGATATCCTCCGCATCTTGAGGGGTAACGCTAAGACAATGCCGGGGTAGAGCCCTCATGCGCAACTAATTGGGTATATACGGATGTAGGATATGGAGCTAAACGTGCTTACTCTGGCTCGAGTCGTATTCACTACGTATCTGTCGCAGAAGAGGTTTCTCCGATACAAATGTCTCAATAATCAGCCTCGGATATTGGATATCATGCCCCCCAGACGGGAACAAAAAGAAACTTTGTGCGGGGTTTTGGCGCCGATCTTCCACGAGTTTGAAATTTTGTTAGGCCCCAACTTCTATTTAGATGCTGAAGGAAAAGGAAGGTAAAGAGGTGAGTCTATCGATAAGTGTATTTGCATATCGACCTGCTAAATGTGTTCACGCTTCTGTAGGCAGAAGATATCAAACAAACCTCATATCAGGGAGTCTGAAAGGCATCAGACAGACCATGTATTGCTCCGAATGGTTTATGCACGGAGTATCCCCCGTTGCCATGAACAGGTGATGATCGTCGCACTGTTCACCGGCCTCGGTAATCTATATCAATCACATTCTTAGAAGTTGTTTAAGTATATAATATGAGAATCGTCCCGCTCTATCATGTAGAATAACGGCCTTGAATCCCTTATATAGAGCAGGAAAATGGCATTGTCCCTTGCGCTCATGGTGCGCCTAGCCCTGGTTGGCCTCGTGGTATTCACTTCAATTGCCTCAGCCCTGCCGGCGCCTCAAGTCCCTCGCAGCACGGTTCAGGACCCCGACACTGATCCGTTCTATCAGCCACCTGCTGGCTTCGCATCCGAGGCGCCTGGGACAATCCTGAGCCAACGCAACATCACTGCCGCGTTCTTTGGTCTCGTCCCGGTTGACGTGGAAGCCTACCAGCTGCTTTACCGCACGACTGCAATCAATGGCTCGGCTATTGCAACAGTCACCACGGTGTTTAAGCCGAAGGACGCTAAGCTTGATCGTTTCGTTTCCTTCGCCACGGCCTACGATAGCTCTGCGACGAAATGTCAGCCTAGCTACACCTACCAGCTTGGTTCGCCACAGGACAGTTTGATAGCTTCGGTCGAGCTATTGATCATTGATATCTACCTTGCTCTTGGTTACACCGTCGCTTCTCCTGACTATGAGGGACCCGAGGCTGCCTTTGGACCTGGTCGCCTCGCAGGTATGGGTGTATTGGATGGCATCCGTGCCGTGAAGAGCTTCAAGACGTTGAGTCTTACTGATGACCCCATGGTTGTCGGTATAGGCTATTCAGGTGGTGCCATTGCTACCGGATGGGCAGCCTCTCTGCAACCCCTCTACGCGTCAGAGCTGAACATCAAGGGCTGGGCGCAGGGTGGAACTCCCGCGAACGTCACTGGCACAATGTATCAGCTTGACAACACAGCCTTCAGTGGCTTACTCCCCCCAGCTATTGCTGGTCTCATAAAGCCAAGCGCCTATGGTGCTTCGCTGGGCCCTTTCATCAGCGAGATCATAACGGCTGAAGGCCAACAGATACTCGACGCCGCCGTTGCCGAATGCGCCACTGCGGATATCGCGGCGTTCTTCGAACGGTCAATCTTCGACACTAGCTTCCAAACGCTAGGCGAAAATTTTATTTTCGACCCGATCGCTCAGTCGGTACTAAAGCAGAACACCATGGCTGCCAACGAGGACGAGACCCCGACGGCGCCAACCTTTGTGTACCACGCCACAGACGACGAAGTCATTCCTTATGCCGATGCCAAGACTATGGTCAATTCCTGGTGTAACTGGAGTGCAAATGTCAAGTTTACTACTTATGCCAGCGGTGGTCATGCGACCACTGAAATCATTGCCATTCCCGATGTCATCAATTTTGTCCAGGATGCCTTTGCTGGCACGACCGCAAGTGGCTGCACCACGAATACCGAGCTTGGTAGTATTCTTAACCCACTTGCTCTTGGTGTGGATCTTGAGCCAATTCTTGTGGAGCTCATTGATGCGCTGTTCAATCTGGGCGATCAGGACTCGAAGGTCAAGAACGACCCCGTTGGAGTGCTCGGCACAAGCCTTTAAGCGAATGCTGACATCTATTATCATTGGTCCTGATGAGCGTTGAGGGTTTGAGCCGCAACTGTTTCTGATATGCACATGGTTATTCGCTCTGCCACCTTTGGTGTCTTTGTTTCCTTTGGCTAGGCTTTGGTATCCTTTGTGGGACATTATAACCTTTTCTGTCAGCACATAATGTTTCTCACCAACAATGAGAAGGCAGACTTCCGAGTCGAGCTTGTGTTGATCAATGGAATGAAGTCCACAGGATATGACGTTGGATCAGATAACGGTGTGACCTGCCAAAATATAGTATGGGGAAATCTTGGAAGATGTCAAAGTACTCAGATATAAAGGATCCATCAGCTGCCTATACCTGGCTGTCTGTAGCCTCCAAGTAGAACGTCTTGATATCACGCCTTGTAAGTCGTGATCAAGCGCTTATCGGTTCCAGGGGACCTTGCCCCGGGTACGGCGATCCTTGCGACCGTGCATGACACCCGGCTTGTCCAACAGCCTGTTTCCAGGTAAAAGGAAGTTATACAAGTGAAAGGAGAACAGGAGCCTAGTTTATCAAGAAGATAGGCAGCCAACCCCCCGTGTTTGCATCATCTGTGTGGCGTTCTAGGCTGACTAGGACACTCGAGACCTGTCGAGTCACCGGATGTGCGTCACAGACGAACTATCTTCATTATCACACCCCTTCTCTCTCTCTTTCTCCGCATCCACCTGCTTTCTCATTCTTTTCTTACGAGCTTTATCATATTTCTCTCGCTTCTCTACACCCCTCACGGTGATTTTATCCAACTGCATTTGCCCGTGCGGAGAAGCTCTAGACCTGCCCCGAAGGTCCCAGGCCGGAGTCAACCCCAGACCACATGCTAGGCGCCCATTGTCTCATTGTGAATCATTTAGCGTCTCAGATTCAGGAACATTCTTAGAAGATTATCATCACCTTCTCTGTTAGCATGGCCCTCAGTCTTGGATCCATCGCTGCCCGATTGCGTTCCTGATAACAGATTCCGGCGGTGATAACACTCATATCCAGCACTCCCCGGTAATGCCGTTCTTACCTCTTGTTCGCATGCATGTCGATGGTCGCTAACCACGGTGTCGCAACTAGAAGACCACCATGCATCAACATCCCCGATCATCGGCGGTGCCGTCTCCGCCGCCAAACCTTCCACCCAGACCGACAGCTCGGGACGTCCGCAGAGAACAGGAAACCGCCCCGAGCTCCCCAACGGTCGATATGGGGTCTAATTATGCCAGGGGGCTGGGATTAGAGCCGGGACCTCAACCGTCCGAGCAGGGGAGGAATGCGGCATTGGGCAAGGAGGCCCTGACCCGGTTAAACCAGATAATATCGGTATCGTCATTCAGATCGCCCCTCTCATGGCTTATCAGGATAGCTCATTGACGGCTAATCTCCTTTTCAACAGAACTATCACACAAAAGCCGCTTTGATTATCCTACATTCACGAGTTGCACTGCCTCCCTCCTTTAACAAGGGCTCCGATTCTCCTAGAGTCAACCGCTGGGTATGTTTCCAAGTCATGGTCGGATTCGCGATGCTTTTTGGGATATCAAGGCACATGAAAGTGGCAGGCGCTAACTCTGTTTGTTTCCCTCCAGTTCAATGTCGAGTTAGATGATACAGATGTCCTTCGGGAACCCCTGCGACCTTGGAGAACATGCGATGCAACGGACAACCGACCACCACCCCTCGTTATCGAAACGTACTTAGACACAAAGGGCCTCACAAATAATCAAAGTCTGGTGATTATTGACGAGAATGGGAAGCGTTGGGATGTGCGTGAGTCGCTTGCGGCGCTTCAGGGTGCCCGTGCAAAGCCATACCAATCGGAAAATGACGAGATTATCTTGGAGCGGTGGAAAATCGAATTGGGAGAGTGCTCCAGCAGGCCTCCGGCAGATTTGGGCTCTATCTTGCCGACTGTGTATAAGAAAAGCATTGTGCTCTTCCGTTCCTTGTTCACCTACTCCAAGTTCTTGCCTGCATGGAGATTCTCTAGACGCAACAAAAAGTTGCGACAGAGTCCGGCCCTCCAGATCAAGTATCGTGTGGTAGATGGGAGCGCTGCTCGTGATAACCTCCCACTGGATCATTTGACAGCCCCGTTGAGCGAGGGAAGCGAAAAAGTGGTGGACACATACGGCTTTGGGGTCACGGAGTCGCCCGCAGGTCCCTTCTCAGTTCAAGTCACGTATCGGACGAACTGCGATTTCCGTGTTGACGACTCAGAAGCGCTACTGAGCTCGCGGTTTATGGGTGCCGACGACGAGATCTTTCGTCCGTCGTTGCCTTCAGATGATGTCAACCGCCCAAATCCCGAAGTCGGTTCTGTGCCAGTGGAGAGAAGGGCCGTTGAGAGCCCAGATTGCACACGTGCATACGGCAGTCTCTCCACCTTTCATCAGGTTGGCCCAACAACAGGTGCAAGTCCTATATCAGCACTCCGTGCAATGAGAGATTCGGGCGCGGGATCTCCTTCACCGACAGAGTCACCTAAGAGACTCCTCCCTTCTGCCAAAGTCCTTCCTTCAGGACGTGCGGCGCAGATTGCTGGTGAAAGCGGAGGGTCAAGTTTCCCACGTCGTCCCTCTGTCTCATTCCAACCCTTCAAAGCTCCCTCTCTGTCTGCTTCCCCGGCTTTAGCAGACTCTCCCCTGGGAATGTCTCCCCGCAACACGTCACGCATCTCCACAGGTACATCTGCCGATTCCCGCGTCATGCCGCCCCTTTCTTCTGCCGCTTCAGCGCGCAGACCTATAACCATCGCATCTGAACAAGCTATATCATCCTCTAATTCCGCATCCCCCAAGCCTGCTCCGATATCCCGTTACAGCAGCTCCTTTAGCCACCGACGAGGCCGCCTTTCCGTAGGGACAAACAGACTGGAAGACGACAACTCCAGTGGCCGAGCGAGTGCGACATCATCCAATGCACAGCCCGGGTCCGGCCTACTTACGGAAGCTACGGGCACGAGTGCGGAGTCTATTCACGCAGATGACGAGAATATCTCCGACTTTTTGAAGATGCTTGATTCGAAAAAGGATCTAATGAATTCATCCACTGCATCTCTTCAACCTGGTCCTAGGCAGGCGAACCCCACCGCAGTAGCTCTTGCTCGCTTCCGCGGTATGCGAGATTCAAATGCCGCGTTGTCCGACTCAATGTCACAGTCTATGCACATGCATCGCTCTTCTCTTTCTTCGAGCAAGCAATTGTCAGGGGTCCCACCGATGGTTGCGGGCACCTCCGTCTCCACAGCTTCTTCTCCGGGCAAACCCATATCTCCCCACACTCCCCACACGCCTGCTATACGATCTCGTCTAAGCTCGAACAGCGTTGCTGATGACATTGAGACCGACCACCGTTCAAGAATCCCTCGCTCGCACCACGATCCACCACTCGAAGAACATTCCAGCGCAGAAAATACGCGAGGAGCTTCTTCTACTGCAGGGGCTATTGATATTCCAACATCGCCGCGGATTTTCGACCCTGCTTACCGCCGCTCGAGCTCCGCAGCCGTGCGCCGGCCAGTCGTTACCAGCGACGATGATGAAATATTCCCATTCGGCATGCGCAGCCTCAGTCTGGGGGCCGATGAGCCCTCTCACGCCACCCTAGCTGCCGCCCAACAGCACACCGAGTCCCTGAAGAGCCAACAATCACCGGCCGAGGGTCGAAGCGGTCCATCCCGCTCTGCAGCGGGTCCGTATCGGGACAGTGCATCCCTCCGCGGACAGATGTCTGGACCAACCAGCGCCTCAGCCTCCTCCAACCCCCATGTCTACCAGCCCCGGTTCGCCAGCTCCCGTGGCCGCGGCTACTCGGGCGGACATTCCGTCAGCTCAGCATCCAGCAGCCTCGCCCGGGGCGCCAATCCCGCGCCGCATCTGGTGGAGCGCGACCATGACCGTGATGGAAACGCCAGCGGAAGCAACAGCGGCAACTCCACGTTAGAGATCCGCCGTGGTTCCGGGCAGCGGCCGGGCGCGGTTCGGACGCTTTCCGGACAAGCGCCCGAAGACGATGAGCCGCTGCTCTTCGCGATGAGCGACTTTGGTGTCTCGCGGCGCAGCCTAGATGAAGTTCGACACGGGAACCACGGTGGGGCTGAATCGGCTGCTGGGTCCCGGCGCGGGAGTGGGAGACGGGGAGCAGGGCTCCCGGGCTTCCATGTTTGGTCTTGAAGTATGAGTATACATTGGCATTCTAATGATGCTTTATTTTGGATTTCTATTCTATCTTAACCTCCTAGGTCTCTTACTCTTCCCCACCTCCCTCTCAACATCATCTTATACAGGCGATTGGGCCTCCATTCAATTTTTGACGTTTGATTTCCTTTTAAACCATTTCCTACTTGCGCGGTTGGCTGATTTCATAGATTGAATACTCCAATCACAGATTGATTACTGCGATGTGCATAGAGATTGGGTCTCGTTATTGTTCGGTTTTGTTTCGGGCGTTTTTTTTTCTTGTTTATTTGTCGTTTTCCTTCTTCTTTCTTCTCTGACTCCTATTTTTGTTTTCACTTCACTTCGCTTCCGAAGTTCTGGGATTGCTTTGCTCATTTGACATATCCCCTCTCTACATGATTGATACGACTTGATGGTTTCTTGGGGGCCGCGTTTTCTCCTTATGACTATATGATTCTTGATCTATTTGATGATGTTGGTGGTTTTTACTTGGTAGAGTTATATTATCTATTAAAAAAAAATTGAAACACTTTGGATTCGTGCAAGGGAGAAAAGATTGTGCCTATAACGGCAAAATATCACATGGAACGATTAAGCACTTCCAGGGGGCTACATACTTATCCTGTGCGACATATCCGAGCCCGCCGTATTTCAGCGAAGGCTTGGATAGCCATCTCTCCGATGCTACGCATGCTAATGGAGAAACCGACTGCTCTTTGACACCGTCACACTTAACTAGTAGGTGGCCGAGAAATGGCCCAATTACTTCCTCCACACTCCATTCGGGCCGGTTCTACTATCTAAACTATTCTATACAAAGGGTTAAGTTTAGACCAGATCCTAGCTAGAATATACCCGCGTTAAGTTAGAGGCTCTACTGAGTTCTAGGAAGCCCTAAGGAAAACCCGGCACGTATAGTTACATATGTACCGGATAATGCCTGGCACTCGAGACCTTTCCCTTTCCGTTTTAGTGCTCACCTCTTGCCGCTTTTTGATCACTGAGTAAAACGGAGCACGTCCCTGAGTAACTAGTTAGTTACCCTGACTTGATCATGGGCCATTATATAATCAACGTGATCTCTGAGTAACTACTGTGCCACGTGATCAAGTTTACCAGCTGTGCTGGGCTCCTTGATCTCCTTCTTCTTCGACAACTATTGATATCACATTCTCCTGTCGGCTTACGGGGAGTAACTCTGGAATGAACACTATAAGGCCGTCCATTCCTCGTTTGTCCGCTCTACTTCGCAATAAACCGTTTCCCATACCTTCTCCGGGGCTACCTTTACCGCCCGGTATACTCGTTGATGAAGAGATCTCGCCGGTATACGATTCCAAGTACTTCTACGCAGCGAAGCCTGGAGAGGTACTCGCTGATCGTTACCAAACCCTGGTTAAGGTTGGCTGGTATATATCTTCAACAGTATGGCTCGTGTGTGATTTGTAAGGGTAGTCTTTAATAATTTCTGTTTAATTCGAAGCTCTCTCCATCTCTAATAAATATATAGGTATATCGAAAAGCCAGGGAGTGTTATAGTACTAAAAATCGCTAATAACAATGCGAGTTCCGCTAGTCATGAGCGTGGTATTAAAGAGCACATTTCCACCGCAGACCCGTCACACCGAGGCCGCTCACTTATCCGAATATCTTTAGACTCTTTTGAAGTTAAAGGTCCAGAAGGTTCTTATTTGTGTCTTATATATCCGCCTATAAGGGAGCCATTGTCCATATATCAGCGGCGCTTCGAGGATAGAAAGATACCACTGCCCCTCATTAAAACATACATTCGTACTCTTCTTACAGGGCTTGATTATCTTTATAAAGAATGCAGGATAGTTTATACAGGTAAGTTCATCCTTAGCCTTATATCCTGTCGGTGATACTAAGCCCAGGCGGCGGCCTAGATCTAAAGCTTAAAAACATTATGGTCTCATTCGAGGATCCAACCGTACTTACTGATTTCATGAATTCTGAGCTCGAAAAACAATGGCTTTCAAGATTGATTCGACAGGACGACCAGTGTATCAGTCCCGTAATGACTTCGGGCCACTTAAAAGCCTGAGAAGTATACCACAGCTTATCGACTTTGGCTTGGCAACCAGACTCGAGGAAGACGACGACTACGGCATCTGGCCTATTCAGCCAGACCACTATCGGGCGCCAGAGGTGATATTGGGTAATGGATGGCGAATGCCTACGGATATTTGGAATCTTGGTGTTCTAGTACGTCCCGCTTTTCTCTAAAGTTGTTATTATCCACTAATGCCGGACCAGTTGTGGGATATGATCGAAGGAAAAGAGCTATTTCGGCATATCCATGATCAACAAGGTCGTTACGATGCTAAACTACACCTCGCCGAAATGATAGCTTTACTCGGTCCACCCCCTCCAGAGGTCATACAAAGGTATCAATATATGCGAGAGTACTCGTGGCCGGAACCTGTCAGACGAGAAGACGACAGAGTATGCGAGATCGCGGAGGAGTACTTCTGCGGCCCATTCTTTGACAGTAATGGTATCACTAGGTTTCCTATCTTGAACGAATTATTCTTAGACTCACGAAATATCTTAGGTCGCTTTCTTTACGAAGACCTGATCCCCGACCGGAAACTATACGACACAGTTTCCTTCCTTGAAGGAAAGGAGAGGGAAGCGTTTCTGGATCTCGCCAAGGGAATGCTTGTCTGGCATCCAGATGCGAGAAAAACGGCAGGCGAACTGGCGGGGCATCCTTTTCTTCAACCAAAACAGACAAGCGCCTGATTGCTGCGAGCGTTTGCTAGCGGAATGACTCAAAATCGTGGTTGATCCCAGTTCGGCGGTTCCATCAAATGGTCAGTTGAAGCGTTAACGTAGTTGTCTTTTTGAATGACATCTAATAGAGTCAGTTGATCTGTTTTTGATCGGAAAGTAATAGCATTATGCCTTAAATGGGATCGAAGACATCGAATTAAATCAAATAAATCAAATTCCCAAGGTACCCCCAAAGGGGTATCACACCCGTTGAACATTCGCGCGAGCAACAGAGGAACAGGGTGAATAAATCAATTAAATTAATGGATTGAAGTCCAGACCCTCCATAGCAGGCAGCCTCCTAAGGAAACCCGGTACGTATAGTTACATATGGATTGCTATTGTATGTAAATGCACCTAAACGCTGACATCACATTGTAAGCTCGTACCTTCCGTATAAACTATCGCCTCCCTGTATGTAGGTAGTCTGTGGAATGCCCTATTTGCCTATTTAATACGCGTCACAGCTATATAAGCAGCTCCTTTACTTGTTTGTAGAGAATCAACTCTTCTTCTCTTTCCCTCCTTCGCTCTCTGAGCGTCTTAACATAGTTACGAACTTCACATCAACAATCATTCGCACAACAAAATGTTTGATAGAACCATCTGTTGCTCTTTCTTGCTTTTGGCTCTGTCTAGTAAGTTTGACCTCAGCTTGATCCTATTTTGACCTGATTTTGACCTCTCTTTTAGCTGCAATGGTGATTCGAGAGGAGGGGGTCGAGTCCCTAGTGGCGAAACTCGTCCGCCTGGCTGAAGAGAAGAGAAGGGTGATTGAGTGATGAGCAACGTGGCCAGCAATCTCATCTGGATGATCGTTGTCTGCGCTGCGGCCCTATAGCGCATTGAATTTCTCTTACTGGACATTGCGGAGATTGTTCGACCGGTATGTCGCTGTGTCCCATGCACATAATCTTGCCCGCATCGAATTGTGAAGTTATTCTCACTTCCTCGATATCACCGGACATCCAGCTCACCAGATTCCTTTTCAGTTGGCCCTCACTAGAGTATCAGCCCGCTGCAATCTCACCTCGGTAGCGCACATCTGAATGTTTTGTGTAAGGTACACGACTAACATATACATATCTAGACCAGCTCGTTAACCAGATGAGGGATAACAAGGCTGTCTAAGGTATCTTATCTATATATACGCTCAGAGCTGGTGACCGACGCAGGGATTTTCTGACGCTGACAGAAGAGACTTTGATCCTCTGTGAAAAGGAAACTAATTACCAAACAACGCGATATCATCTTTGAATGGACAGACAATCATCGTCTCGCCCAACGAGTCCCTCGAAACAAACAGGTGCAGCGGGAAGACATCTGGCAGCTAGCTGCTTAGCACGGTGCTCGGGCAGATATTGCCCATCTGGCAGATATTGCACACTTCAGCAAGGTGCGGTAGGAGCTCTATGGGACTGTGATTACCGATTCGGGCGCGCTTTCCCCTACAGAAGCGGAGTCCAGGAGACCCCCGGAGCCCGCCGTTGAAGGATCGCCGATATGGATTTTCTCGAGAGGATTGACCTTGTTCATACGATAAACCATCACCTTCTGGGTTTCTTTTCATTTTAAACTATGATATACTCGCTGCCAAGCGACATCGGCGTCGGGAGCGATGTTAATATACGAAGTAAGTGATAAGACTTGCGAGTCCACTCAAAATATTTGATTCTCGGGAGTTGACTGAGCGTGTTCGCTGGTAAGGTTTAAAAGGCGAGGTCTCATGTTAGTTTGAACGTACACTTCATACCTTGTATTGGCCTGTGCTAAGTAGAGGCTCACTTAAATCATAGGTAGCAGAGAGATATGAAAAGGAAAAACAAGTGACTTCGTTACGGATCATGGGCATTCCATGGAGACATCTAAATACATTGAACATCCGATTTTTTTACCCTGCTAGCATACCTCAACTTAACACGCTTATGCGATGTAGGTCGAGGCCGACACGTCACCACCACGGCCGGTCCAGTTAACGTGGATATCCTTGCCCTCGGGGAAGGTCTCGCTGGCATCCTCGGGCTTGATGCGGAAAGTGTGGGCACCGAAGTAGTCACGCTGGGCCTGGAGCAGGTTGGCAGGCAAGTTCTTGGAGCGGTAACCGTCGTAGAAGGCGAGCGCAGTGGAGAAGGCCGGAGCAGGGATACCCCACAAAGCGGTCTTGCTGATCACGTGACGCCAGCCAGTCTGGGCGTTGTTAATGGCCTTGTTGAAGAAGTCGTCGAACAGCAGGTTCTCAAGGTCGGGGTTGCTGCGGTAGGCCTTGGTAATATCCTTAAGGAAGACGGAGCGGATGATGCAGCCACCGCGCCACATGAGTGCAATGGAAGGCTTGTTCAGCTTCCACTTGTACTCCTTGGCAGCCTATATTGGGGACGAGGGTTAGAAAACCGACTATCAGTAGCGGATAAAAAAGACTTACGTTCTGGATGAGCATGAAGCCCTGGGCGTAGGAGATAATCTTGGAAGCGTACAGGGCCTGCTCAAGGTCGTCGATGAAAGCCTGCTTGTCGCCCTCGAACTTGGGTGTGGGACCGCTCAGGATGGTGCTGGCACGGCCACGCTCGTCCTTGAGAGCACTGAGGCAGCGGGAGAAGACGGCCTCACCGATCAGGGTAACGGGCATGCCGAGGTCCAGAGCGTTGATGGCGGTCCACTTGCCGGTACCCTTCTGGCCAGCCTTGTCGAGGATCTTGTCAACGAGGGGAGTGCCATCGTTGTCGTTGTAGTAGAGGATATCACGGGTGATCTCGACCAGGAAAGAGTCGAGAACACCGCTGTTCCACTTGGCGAAAACATCACCAATCTCCTTGGAGGAGAGACCGACACCGCGCTTCAGGATATCGTAGGCCTAGATGACGTCAGTGATCGCTCGAGAATATCTTGCAGCTTGAGAAGGTAGCCTTACCTCGCAGATCAGCTGCATATCACCGTACTCAATACCGTTGTGGACCATCTTAACGTAGTGACCGGAACCCTCGTCACCGACCCAGTCACAGCAGGCCTCGCCGTCGCTCTTGGCAGCGATGCTCTGGAAAATGTCCTTAATGTGGGGCCAAGCGGCCTCGTTACCACCGGGCATGAGAGAGGGTCCGTAACGGGCACCCTCCTCACCACCGGAGACACCGCTGCCGACGAAGCTGATGCCCTTGCCGTTGAGGTATTGAGTACGGCGGTTGCTGTCGGGGAAGTGGGAGTTACCACCGTCAATGATGATATCACCCTTCTCGAGGAAAGGCAAAAGGGCCTCGATGAAGTCATCAACGGGCTTGCCAGCCATGACGAGGAGCATGATACGGCGGGGGCGCTTGAGCTTGGCGCAGAACTCTTGGATGGAGTGAGCACCAATGATGGACTTGCCTGTTTTGTAGTGAGCATTTTTTGCAACGGCCATTGGAACCTGTTATTCTCTGGATTGCTTACCCTTAGCCTCGTTCGCCAAGAAGTGGTCAACCTTGGAGACGGTGCGGTTGAAAGCGCAGACGGTGAAGCCGTGATCAGCAACGTTCAGGATGAGGTTCTGGCCCATAACGGCCAGACCGATGAGGCCGAAGTCAGCACTAGGAGCAAAGTGCGCCGGAGCACCGACATTGATGCCGGCGAGACGGGCGCTATCGTCAGCGAACAATGTCTCTTGTCAACAGATGGGTAAAAAAATGACAATGGGAGCAAAAGAGAAAGGAAAGCCGTGCTCTTCTGAAAAAAGATCAGATTCGCAGTAGCTCCATTGGTATCATCTTGCGCGAGCACCTATAGGGATTGGGTCTTCCAGATAGAGCTGTTGCATGATGTCTGAGCAGCATTGAAGATCCATGCGCTCTGTTATCCGTCGGGAGGCGTAACCGCTGGGCTGGAATTGGTGAAATGGGGAGGAAAGAAAGATGACTTACACAGCTTGGTCAGCCATGACGATTATATGTGAGATATGATATTGATTAAAAAAACGGTGAATCTAGAGAAGAGAGGAAGATGAAGAGAGAGAGGAGGGGAAGAAGAAGAAGTAGCTCGGCTGACGGAGCAAGTCTTCCGTCATCCTGTGGGACATACCGGGGGTACCGTGTACCAGCGTGGTTCTTACTGTCTCCGGTGTAGCGCCAAGTACTAAGTACAGGAGCAGAGTCGTCCGGTGTCAACCCACTCGGGTTCTGCGACAATTTGGAAAGCATTATCCGACCCGGTTTCAATTCCCTATATGCTACGTACATCCTCTGTTGGATTTCCGGTTTACACAGCTTTATAGTACATGGCATTGTAGCTTTTACTCTGCAAGAGCGGGGCATGGAGGGGTAGCTTGGAACTGAAGAATGTTATATAACATAGCAAGTGTATAGTAAGGTATCAAGCAGATGATGAAGTAGCAGAAACTCAACCCAATCCCCATGTAAGTCACCTAAACCATCCACACATCCCATCCCACCATTTTCCACGCATCGGTGAACTGTTCTGGTTGCGACGGAGAAATCATTTGCCGATGAGTTCATAACCGGCTGCACATGGGCTAGGCCGCTTTGGGACTAGAGTGGGGGTTACAGCGCCCACAACGGCAATGACTCAGCAAGAGGGCTGGGGGGGCTTATGTCATAGCTGAGTCAGGAAAGCTTGGTTGAGTCATGTGACACAGCCATCGCAGACGGCCTGGCCAGCGCATAGACAGAGAAGCCATTTCTCATCTCTCGGATTTTCCATTAAGCGTTGCCATCCCGCCTAATATTTCACGACGCGCATTTTTATAATCCTTCAGGCCACTTACAGTGACTATAAGCGGCGGAACCTTTCACCTCTTGCAAGTGCTCATCTTTCGGGTGCCTATCTCAAGCGTGACGGTCAGTCAGGCCCTGAAGGTACGTTGCGGTTGCTACTTCGCATCTAGCATTCTCGTCTCTCCATCTCTCGCATCTCATTTCTCTCTCCCCCCCCCATTTGAATATCCCATTCATCATGTCCCTTCCGCCTCCTCCAGGTCTCAAACAGACTCCCTCGTCACTTCCGCCCCGCCCACCTCCATCCTCCAATGCCGCGCAGCCTCCCACCGCCAATCCTGCAGGCTATGGCGGTAGACCTCGACCAACGGGCTACAACGCCTTCACGGCGTTCCAGCCGCGCGCGGTAGCCTCCAGTCAACCGCGTCGCCCCAACAACTACTCGGTCGCGAATCCGCCAGTCTCTGCTGGATACGCAACCCCCGTCAAGAGCTACGTCAATCAATATCAACAACCTCAGACATACCAAAGTGGGCCTTCCTACTATGGACAACCTCAATACGCTGAAAACACATACGGCCCGACCGTCCCACATATTACGAACCCGTTCGGATCTACGCCCAATACAGGGTTTTCACAGGGTGGCAACGCCCCCGGATTTGACGCAGAGACGGAAGCTCAAATCGCGCAGTGGCAGAGCGCCTACAATAGGCCCACCGATGACCCCAAGAATCAAGGCAACCAGCCGGGTTCAGGCGTGAACACGGGAGCTGGAACCCCAACCCTCGGCGCTGGCACTCCTGCCCAGCAGGCCGAGTCACAAAAAACAGTTATTCGCTCTGGTGGTGGTCAGACATGGACCGACTCGACCCTATTGGAGTGGGACCCGGCACATTTCCGACTTTTTGTGGGTAACCTCGCAGGTGAAGTGACGGATGAGTCTCTACTGAAGGCATTCGCCTCCTACACATCGGTCCAGAAAGCTCGTGTCGTCCGAGAGAAACGAACCCAGAAGAGCTTAGGCTATGGGTTCGTCAGTTTCAGTGGAAGTGACGACTACTTCAAAGCGGCACGAGAAATGCATGGCAAGTACATTGGTTCGCACCCAATCCTACTGCGCCGAGCGGTAACCGAGGTTCGCCCAACTTCGGCCCCCAAGCATGGAAAGCATGGAAAGAAACAAGGCAAGGGCAAGGGTCCTAAGGGAGACAACGCCGGTGGCGCAGGTGGAAAAGTGAAGCAGGACGGTATCAAAAAGCCAGCCAAAACGAAGGGAGGATTGAAGATTCTGGGTTAATTATATGGATACGCCGTTTACGTGAAGACCGATAGTACATTTTCATGGCAAGACTAAAGATGCTTTCCTGTTGCCAAATGTACTATTACTGAAAAAAATTCGAAATATCAAAACCAATTTCGTTCTCGAGTAAA